AAACTACTACTAATGAAAGAAATCAATTTAGAAGAATCAGGAACAAGAAGTGCGTTCCTTATTTTGGCTAGTTTTTCACTTTTGTAAACCTGTTTAGAAAGTATCAGGTCTAATTTCTCAAGTAAACTATTCTAGAAGCTGTTCTGCTCTCATATGTGGTTTTTGATTCGAAGCATTAAAAGCATTGTTATGGAGAAAAATTCCTTCGCAAACTGTGAAATGCTCCGTTATGAATAATTAAGCTTTTAAATTTTAAGAAGTGCGACTATAACGATCATTAGTAGAATAGAGTACACTATTAGAATGTCCAAAACTACTTTTTTAGTCTTTTCTGCTCGTTGATTTCAAGACAAATCGCGTACAAAAAACTCAAACTTCTCGCTACTTTTGTTACTATATCTAAAACGGTGCACTGTAGGAGAGAGAGCTATGCGCTCTAAGTCCTAATCAGAAACCTAGTCGTCGTTTACCTCTTGCAGTCAGCCTCTCAACCTCGCATTTTCCTTCTATTTTTGTCTACGTACATCAATTTCGTAGTGGTCACTATTAAACAATGGTTTTTGTCAGAAATTTTCACACGCAGTAAACCCTCACGTAACTTTTCCTATGTTCTTCCCCATGCTCGGTTTTAGGAGGACGGCACAAGTGCTATCACTTTTCTCACTTTCTTGCAAGCTTTTTAAAAACCCTTTTCTCATTTTGGCTACCAATTTGTTCTACTATAGCAAAGTATGTAGTTCGTACCATCGTTATATTGGGGCCAAGCAGTGGGGCAAAGGCATCTTCGGTCTTGTTTAGAATCATCATAGCAATATCCTGTATGGCTTCGACATCGTTGTATATCTTTTGTGTTGCTTGCTTTACCTGAAATAACGCACGCAGTAGCCAAAAAGAATTACATAAAGCATTTTGAGCAGTTGATATTAATGCCTTGCAGGAGCAAGAAAAGAATTTTAGAGAGGTTAGTGATCCTCAAAAGGTTTTCCAAGGAAATCCCTTCTTATTAGATATGTGTCACCATTTTTATGCAGATGTCAGGTTATCAAAACAAAAGTTTAAAATTTTCTATAATGGATGGTATAGCGAATAGTTGCTGGGTCACGACTTGCTTCAACATCAGATTGAAATGGCATGATGGCGACCAGAGGACGAAAACTTTTAATTTACCTTTTTATTTCCAAGAGATGCGATAAATGCTTTCGCAGCTTCCTTTTGTTTTTGAAGACTGCTGTTGCGATCGGCTATTATATTCAGGAACTAAAAATATCGTATTTTCACAATTTCAGAAACAATTATCTGAT